TCGTTATCACTTCCCTAATCGTCCCTAGGACCGCTGATCTCTGTGCCCTCACTTCAGCATTGGTCATGAAGCAGATGCCCGGAGTGCCTGGCCAGCGGAGGTGAATCTTGAATTCAAGACTACCAAAAGTCGTCCTGAGTTGGGGTAGAGAGATGGTGAAGTGTTAGGAGGGAGCACTTATGCCCTTGCAGCAGACCTGGTGGCTGTAAATCCAGTTCCAAGAGCGCCACCATTGCCGTCTTCTGGCCTCTGTGGTCACCTGCACTGATGCAGTGCACATAAACTCATACAGGCACACACATGTATACATTTTAAAAAAAACCATCAGGGTTGAGAAGTACTATTGTGTAAGAAGATCATCACTATAGCATTATGTACAGTAGCAGGAATTTGGAAGCTATATAAATGTCTGACGTCAGTCTGTGGATGCAGTTACTATGCACCCGACTGCTTGCATTCAAGATAAAATGTGAACTACAGGAATCTGGAGATACATGAGCAAAGCACTGTAATTTTACCTATCTGTGTGTGGGTGAGGACTTGAGAATACAAAATTTTGCATCTAAAACTAAAATAGTTTTACGAACTAGTTAGAGGTTTGTTTTTTTTTTTTTCCTTTCTTTTTTAGTGGAATTGACCTTTTCTTTCTTTTACTATTCTGACTCCTTTCCCACAGGGATGTCTCGAGAGAATGAGAAACAGCCGGCACAGGCTCCTGGCCAGGTACCGCCAGGCTGGAGGTGGCACACCAGGGAAAGCCTCAGACAGATTTCTTGTGCAAGAAGTGATGGAGGAAGAGTGGAACTCTTTGAAGTCTGTAGAGAATTGTCCAGAAGCCTTGTTTCAGGTCAGGCAAGGGTCTGTAGCTAGCAGACACTCCATGAAGAACTTGTGCTAACATCTTTCTATCAGTTTTTCCCTGTCTTTTCAACCTACCCACCTCCCAGCCCCCAAGCATAGTTCTAACAGCTTTTTTGCTCAGGTTTTTCTAATTTTGAGTATTGATTTTATATTGATGGTTCTGCAATACTAGATTGTAGGCATGTTGCAACCTTGTAATGAAACTAAACTTATGAAGCTAAAAGGAAAGAAAATGTCATTCATTCTTGCTTTCCCCCTTGAAAATGTTGACTGATTAGGAATGGGTTAGGGACATCACTTTGAAAAGGATGTCTACAGCAACATTCTGATTCCAGCCAATCAGTTGGGAGTTGTGTGTCCATAGAAAACCATTTACAATGTATCAAGGAAGGCTATAAGTTTGTATCAGGGATTCTGTTTAGTTTTACTGACTCTAAACCTTACTGTGTTTCTTTGAACCTTAGTTTTTATATTTACATAAAATAGAGAGGATGGCTCGAGCATTATGAAAATTGTGTAGCAAAACATGAAACCCTTTGAAACCATCAAAGCACTGTTTGATAATGATGCATTTTCAGGGGCATCTATGTGTGTTATAGTGTGCCAAATAACCCTAATGTCACCACAGTTAGTGCTCACAACAGGCCACTCAGGTTGGTCTTACTCTAGTTTTACAGAAGCTAAAACAGCTTTTTAAGGACTAGATGTTTTCACATGGCCAGTCTTAGGACTTTTCCTTAACTGCTACCTGATTTTGTCTCCCTTAAATTTGGTGGTGAGTACTTTGATCATGTGTTGCTTATCATGACCACATTACTTTACGGTTAGCAAATTCTGCATTCTGACTAGACATTTTGCCAGGTAAATCTGGGGTCTTCAAAGGCAGCTTCCAGTTACAAATCCCTGTGGGACTTGGTAGCCAATTAATACTTTACCTGGAAGGTGAAGACACTATTTTTTTGCTTGCTATACTCAGGAATTAAACCCAGGCTCTTGCATGCTAGGCTAGTGCTGCTCCACTGAGCTATACTCCCTGTTTTCCACTTTCTCTTGTAGTTGGGACTGCCAGAGGACCTAGCTGTGCTGCAGGACATTGAACAGGAGCTGTGTGATGAAGGTAATCCCAGGATGTAGTCTTTCCTAACTACGTGCACCTACTCTTATGCTGACCTTTCCTTGACTCAGGATTGGTTTTGTTGTTTTAGATTGTTTGTGTGCTAGGGATTAAACCCAGAGCCTTGGGCATGGAGGCAAACACTAAAACTATATCCTCAGCCCTAGGATTAGTCCTTAATTCCTGTTTCTCTACCTCCATCATCAGTTAAGTGTCCAGAAGTCTGTTGGACTCTTAATTCTTGGCTGTCTGTCTTCCCAACAGTAAGGGCTGTAGGCTCTGTGCCAGGAACTTCTCATTCCATGATATCATTTCCTTCATTCTGACTACTGTGAAAGACAGGATTAGATAGAATAGAAAATAGTATCCTCATGCAGGTCACATAGCTAGTCAGTGGTAGAGTTTCCATGTTTGTTTTATACTACTTCTTGCTGCTTCATTCAGGTGACCACTGTGGCTGTGCCTCTAGGACCAGCTACTTGTGATTTAATGTAGGAGGGTGGGCTTTCGGGAAGGTGGTTGGGCCCTATAGTTTCAGACTAACTAGGGTAGCATAATGAAACCTGCTTCTTGAACAGTAAATTTGTCACTTTGCATACATGGGCACATCTTTACATACACACCCAAGGGCCATCTCTCACCCATTCTTTTATTGTTTGGCCATGAATTTGTGAGCATCAGCTTCTTGGCATTGTGTAGAGCACACAGTTTTGCATCTTATAGCATGGTGACTTATTCCATATAGCCTTGTCTTGAATAGGTTTCACACGTAGAAATAACAGACTTGCCCTATGGGTACAGGACAACCTGGGCCTTTTGCCTTGCAGAAAAGTCCATCATAAGCGAGTATGAGAAGAGCTTGCAGTTTGATGAAAATTGTCTCAACAGCATGTTGGCTGAGTGGGAAGCAAACCCCCTCATCTGTCCTGTGTGTATAAAGTAAGAATTTTCAAAATCTTTTTAGCATTATTGGTTCTCATTCCATCCTCCAAAGTGAGTGATCCTTCTGCCCCCTAGTTTATTGACTGAGAGGTATAGGGAGCCAGGTCTTGTGACCACAGTGATTTGGGAATCCTAATTTTGTCTCTAGGTACAACCTGAGAATAATGAACAGTGTGGTCATGTGTCCATGTGGCCTGCACATCCCATTTCACGTAAGTGTCCACACAGATTTCCACACACCAGCTGGTGGCGGTTGTACACATCTATGCCAGTTACTTTGTCACAGACAAGGTACCCAGCAGCATTAACCCGAGAGAGGTTTATTTTGGCTTATGATTTTAGAGGGGTTGGTGCATCATGGCAGGGACAGCAGGGCAGAGTGGCTCCGTGGGGGTAAAAGCCAGGTCTCCTCAGCATCTTGGCTAATAGGAAATAAGACCTGTTCCTATGTCCACCAGATAGACTTCCTATGTTTTGCGTGCATGTATGCCTGTACACCATGTGTGTGTCTGGAGCCCTGAATCAAAGAAAAGGGTGTTGGTTGGATCCCCTGGAACTGGAGTTATAGATAATTGTGAGCTGCCATGTGGGTTCTGTCAGCCAAGGTCTTCTAGAAGAGCAAGTGCTCTTAAACACTAAGCCATGTCTCCAGATTCCCTTTTTTGTTTTGAGGCAGTCTAATAGTCCAGGCTGGCTTCAAACTTAATTGTAGCTCAACTTCTGATCCTTCTGATTCTACCTTCCAGGTACTGAGGTTACAGGTTACAGTTAAAGACCACTCCATCTGGTCTTTATACTGCACTGGGAATGAAGCACAGTGCTCCATGCTTGCTAGGCAAGCACTCTACCACCTGAGCTACATCCCCAGCTCTACAGTCTTAAGGCTTCAGAGAATCAAACTGTCTTGATTGGTGATTTAGGTTTTCAACCTGTTGGTTATACAGTATTTAAGATTAGTTGGGTCTGGAGAAATGACTCATCACACTGACTGTAACTCTAGGATCCACTGCCCTCACACAGACATACATACAGGCAAAAACACCAATTTTATTTTATTTTTAAGATTAGGGCTGGGGCTCGAGAGATGGCTCAGAGGTTAAGAGCACTGGCTGCTCTTCCAGGTCTTGAGTTCAATTCCCAGCAACCACATGGTGGCTCACAACCATCTATAATGGGATCTGGTGCCCTCTTCTGGCCTGCAGGGATACACGCAGACAGAATACTGTATACATAATAAATATTAAAAAAAAAAAAAAAAATTAGGGCTAGAGAGATGGCTTAGAGGTTAAGAGCATTGGCTTCTCTTCCAGAGGACCCAGGTTCAATTCCCAGCACCCACATGGCCGCTCACAACTGACTATAATTCCTGTTCCAAATCATTTGTCACCCTCACACATGTGTACATGTAGGCCAAAACACCAATGCACACAAAAGAAATAAAAAAATGAACTTTTAAAAAAGATTAGTTGTGGTTGAACTTTCCTAGTCTCCAGAGTTGACAGAGCAGAAGCTTCGTGCCTATTTGGAGGATAATGTAAATGAGCACAGTGCACACTGTCCCCACACCCCCGAATTTTCAGTCACCGGTGGAACAGAAGAAAAGCCCAGTCTTCTAATGAGCTGCCTGGTAAGCCTCCATGGAGCCTAGTCAGTTGCAGAAGCACATCAGCAGTCAGTTCTGTTCCCCTCTTGGTGGAAATAATGGCTTAGAAATAGGTAAACATTGAATGCGGTTTTTGAGGGATTTACTTCACAGGAGTATCAGCTGGGTGTGGTGGCACTTACCTGTAATCCTAGTACTAGGGAGGCTGAGGCACAAAGAGTTTAAGGCCAGCCTAGACTACATAGTGAAAACCTGTCTCAAAAATAGATGTTGGGCTGCCAAGATGGTTGAGCAGGTAAGAGCACTTGCTGCCAAGCCTGAAAACTTGAGTTCAATCCTTGGACCTCATGTGGTAGAAGCAGAGAACCAATTCCTGCAAGTTGTCTTTTGTCTTTCATAACAATGTGTGCATGCACAAGTGCCCTTTGCGTACCCTCGCACACCAGCACACGCGCACACACACCAACACCAACACCCACACCCACAGACACACACGCACAGGCACACACACGCACCCCAGCAGCAGCAGCAGCAGCAACAGCAGCAGCAGCAGCAGCTTGATCCCCATACATCAGGCCATGGTCATGAATGCCAGATGGCTATCTTGGCATCACTTTTGCAGATAGACAAGATAAGAAGCACAGTGGAGCAACACCAGGTTTGTCTCTCAGCAAACTTTCATAGAAGGCTAAGCCTCTGGCTAGATCATAACTCAGGTGTGAGGGACAAGGCCAGACTGGAAGCCACCTGTCTTAGAAACATTAAGTTTGCTGTGGGACCCAGTGTTTCCCTAACATATTATAGCTTCTAGGTCCCAAGCAGGGGAACTTTGGAGTCAGTGCAACAATGTGCTAGATACACAGTAATAACCTGACCCTGCACATAAAATAGTAATTTGGGGCTCCAACCTTTCTGAGGACAAGGACTATTATTTTTCTCCCACTTATTATTCTCACCCCCATTGTATATTTATTTTTTTCTCCAGTGAGTCGGTATATAAGTAAATACTTAATGTGTTTTTGCAAATGAATTAAAGTGGAGAGTTAAAGAGGCACAGGCCAGATGGCCTCAGTCTCTGCCTTCTTAGAAAGTGCAGTGCTAAGATGGCTCAGTGATAAACCTCTTGCCTTGCAAGCATGAGGACCTGGGTTTGGGTCCCCAGAACCCATATAAAAAGCCTTGTAGGCATGGTGGCTACCTATAATCCCCAAATTTATGAGGCCACAGGCAGGGAGATGCTTGAGACAGACTGGCTACAGACTAGCCAATCAAGGAACTCTAAGTTCAACAAAGTTACTATGTCAATAAACAAAGCAGAAAGCAACTGAGAGACATCTGTCAATAAGGCCTACATGCACACACACACACAAAGATGAAGAGAAATAAGCATACCCGCCTTGTAAAATTTCAAATGCTGGCAGAGCTTATGTTAAATTCTTTTTTGGGGGGGGGGGGAATGCTCTACATTGCCCTGACTGCGTCTGAAACTTGCTACATGGACCAGGCTAGGCTCCATCTCAGAGCTGTGCCTGCCTCTGCCTCTCCACTGCTGGGGATTAAAGGCCTGTACTAAGTTCTTGGTCTGGAGAGGATGAAAGGGCAGTTAAAGAGCAAGCAGGCAGGCATGGTAATGTATGCTACTTGGGAAGCTGAGATAGCATAATTTGAGCCCAGGAGTTTAAGACTAGCCTGAGCAAAATAGCCAGACACTAACTAATCTCAAAGAAAAGCAGTGGATGATTGCTGAGTGTATACCTGCTCAGCTTTTCTTATTTTTAATTAAGTCAAACCTGTTGTGCACTCACCTATTGGTACTGTGCAACTCAGAGCAGCGTAACCAAATGAATGGTTAAGCTTAAGATGCTGATGCTATGGGAAGCAGCATTCTCAGCAAGGCTGACAGCATTGGCTCCAGGCTACATAGGGAGGCCATTGTTGAGGAAGGGTATCACCACAAAGATGAGAAACTGAAGAAGAAAAATGAGTAAGCTCCAAGTACACATTTTAAATTTCCAAAGTGCCACTAGATCTTAAAGGGACATTAAGGATCACTGGTTTTAAGATCCAGTCAGTCCTTCATATACTAAGGGTGAGGTAGAATATGGATGTGGGTTACTGAAGAGGCCACAGAGAAGCAGCCTAAGGATATCTGGTGAATAGTCTAGTCTGTCAGGTTTTGATCTTTCTGGTCTCTGGTTTTGAGGGCACCTGGTAGCCCATCTCCAGGACTTGATCTAAGATTGGAAGCTACATTAGTGACGGCTTCTGTTTGGCAGAACAGGTCCATGATAAGATGTGGCCTCTTCGATAAAGCATCCAGTGAATTGATTCATAATGGTGCCACCTGCAGTGTACATGTCATGATTGATGACAGCTTTTAGCCAGGTGTCGACCTAACTGTTAATGGCTAGAAAGTTATTCATACTGACTTGTTTCTGTTTGATCCAGGCTTGTGATACTTGGGCTGTGATCCTCTAGTCATCCCGAACTCACACTTGACTGCTGGGCTGAGAACAACTCATTCCCTCCGAGAGGGGCCGTGTGCACAAGACTTTTGTATGTAACTTATTTTATATGAAAACTTCTCAAACATCTCCTTGCTCTTGGTGTTTTGATGAAGGGCCAAAAAAAAAAAAAAAAAAAAAAAAAAAAAAAAAAAAAAAAAAAAAGTCTGAACTTTTCTTGGAGGAAATAAACCAATTTTATTGTCCATTATGCCATACAAAAATCTACAAATAATAGATTTGTACAGGAGAAAAATATCCAGATGAATAGTAAATGGAAGTATAACAGCAATAATTTAAACTTGCTTTTTTTTCCTCCCATGATATTAGGAAAGCAGCCAAATGGCTGCTAAGCATACTTCTGATGGCAAAGTAGCTTTTGTTCACTGGCCAAAGCTTGCCATTTAAAGCCAAGCCCCCAGTCTCTGACAGTTCTACTGGCTCTTGACAAAACCTTTGAGGTCCTCGAGGAAGGTGATATATTCTTGGTGTTCTAGAGCCGTACTGAGCTCCACCAGCTCATCTGCAAAGTTGTTGTCCACCCCTCGGTCCTCAAGGAAATCCATCAAGTGGTCATATAAGGCCTGGGAAGAAAAATAGACAAGCTTGAAGAGCAGCAGAACAAAATCAAAAATGGGTCGGCAGGTAAAGGGGTTAAGTTTCTTGGGACAAGATAGAAAGCAAAGCACCAAGTCCCCAAAGTTGCCCCCTGACCTTCCCAAGTGGGCCACTTCCATGTATGAAAACCCATTTTTTTTTTTTTTTTTTAATGCCACTTCCATTCCTTGACCTTTCTCTGCAAAAGCCAAGCACCCTCCATCTCTCAAGCAGGACTCACCCAGTCCAGGGAATCTGTGTTGAGTGTGTAGTTAGTATCCCTCCATTCCGAGTCACCAGTGGCCTGGAAGCTAACTTCCTTGATAGAGAAAATATCGCTGTCCTCTTCGTTTCCAAACTGAGAGATCAAAGGTAAGGAATTGAAGTGCCAGGAAAGGCTCTGCAGTTCTAGCCCCCTCTCACCTGTCTCCCCTCCCGCCCTGGTCTAGGCTACCAGGTCTTTCTTGTACATACAAGATCAGAAGTCACTCCACCCTACAAACCTCATCCTCAGGATAATGGCAGTCCAGCACAAGGGTCTTCTTGCCATCACTCTTTGTAACTTCAACCACAAAATTGGGAGTGGACGTCAGTTCCGGCTGGAAAAACATGAACAAGTCAGTGCTGGTGGTATGTGCACACCCAGACCGGCAGCCTCAGGTGGTGCAGTGTCTGATAGCCATTGCTGTTAGGGTGCACACCCAGACCCACAGCCTCAGTGCACAGTGTGACAGCCACAGCCATCTTCCAACATAGTACTAACAGTTCCATCTTGTTAGCAACTTACTTTCTAAAAGAACACAGGGGTTTAAAGTGGTGCCTGAAGCCAGGTACAGCTATGTTCTAGCTCAGACCTGTACCAGACCCTCAGAGTTGTTTCTGCTCCCACACACTGAAGTGCTGGGTGAAGCACACAGACCTGGAGTGCCTTCCCCTGTGGCTGCTTTAGAGCAGGGTCAGAGCCTGGCACACATAGCTCTGGCTAAGTGGCCACCTTAACCAGAAAAGACATCCAACTTCCTTCTATGGTGACCCAAGGAACAGGCCCAAACTATACATAAGGAGTTGGGGTGTGCATGTAGACTATGACAGAAACACAACAGGGGACTCTGCATTTCACACTGGTCTGTAAACAGTGCTGACAACTGCATAGTCAGATGGCCTGGGGAGCCTGTGGCTCTCACAGCTGTTGGCTTCTAGGCCAGACATACCATTTCTAAGATGTTCGAATACTATCTAGATCCAGCCATGTGGGCCAGCAACCTAAGGAAAAATCTCAGCTGGCCAAATATAAAATCTCTTAAGGCTGGACTAGCAAAATGGCTAATCAAGTAAAGGTGTTTGCTCCCAAAGCCCAGTGCAACCCACATGGCAGGATGAAACTGATTCCTGCAAGCTGCTTGTGTTGTCTTTACACTGAATACATGTCAAATGATGTTGTCTTGACACTAAGTACTCCCCCTACAACACAGGCAGGGGTGACAGTCATATCTCTTTTGCATTTACAGAACACAGGCCCGACAATCAAGCCTAAACCCTGCAGAGGGGGCAATATACCCTAGAACAGGGCTCTCACCTCCAGCTGAAACCCATTCCAAAATACTGCTCTACAAACCCAGGGAATGGCATTCCCACTTCCTCTTTCATAAGGAAAAAAATTTTTTGGGGGGGGCGGGGTAATTGGTTGAGACGGGGTTTCTCTGTGTAGCCCTGGCTGTCCTGGGACTCAGACTCCCCTGCCTCTCATGTCCTGGCATTAATCATATGCACAAAAGGAATTTCAGAAACAATTTTAGCAGTTAACTCTGAGTTCGAGGCCAGCTTGATCTACAAACCAAGTTCCAGGACACTCAGGACTGTTATAGGGAGACTATGTTTAAAAAAAACAAAAACAAAAACAAAAACCCAAACCAACAACTCCCACCGCCCAACCCCAAGTCTTTCTTGCCTTTTAAGACAGAAAAATGGCTGGCCACAGTATCACTAGCTTACCTCCTGTTCTTCAGTCTTCTGGTCTTGGGAGGGCTCCTCCTCACCACCACCAAATGTTGGAGGGATACTATTGTTAATGTTGAAAGTGACAGTGATCCTAGAAAATCAAGTGAGAACACACTAAGGTACAAGAGTAACCAAGTGGTACACAGAAGAGAGAGGCCTGCTACAAAAGGCAGGTGCAAAGGCACACGGAAACAATGTCTCCAACCCAGCCCTCTGCATGGGGGATTAAGAACTTTAGCCACAAGGCAAATGAACCACCAGTAACAATTTTCCTTCCCCCCCTTTCTGAGGTTTGAGCTCAAGCAAACACCAGGCAAACGTTCACAGCTGCATACTGTCCCTGTGCCCAGGTAACTTTACCTTGTTAGGAATTAGTATGTGACAAAACATGCTCTAAATGAGATAAATTTCTTTGCCATGATACCTGGAAGCAGAAGTTCAGGACCATTCTACTTCAGCAGTGCCAACCCACATAAAAGCACACTGAATTGCAGAACTCTTTGCAACCTTTGGCCAGGCAATGGTTTCTTAGCCCTAACATTAAAAAGTCTAAGTGTGTGTAGTGCTGGAGATTGAATCCAGAGCCCCACACATGTTAGGCAGGCAGTCTGAACATGGCTTACATTTTCCCCTCATGTATGCAGGAACCTAATTCCTTAAATTAATGATATTAAGAGGGCCAGACATCTCTCCATCCTTGGTGCTAGGGATCAAGTCCAGGGCTTCATGGATCTACCCAAGATTGACACCCACTAGTGTCAACCTGTACTGTTTAGAAATGGGGCTTTGCTAGGTATATTCAAGCTAGTTGGGCTCCTGCTCCCAAGCCAAGATATCTGCAATTGGTACTGGCTGCAAAGAGAAAAAAATCAGTCTTCTACAATGAATAGGTATATCATACTTCAGGGTAGGTCCCAATGGCCAACACAAAACAAACTCAATGCTATTTTATACACATTACTTAGATTAGGCTAGCCTTGACTTTAAAGATCCACTGGCCACTTCCTCTTGAGTACTGGTGTGCCTGGTGGTTTGTCTTTTTTTTTTTTTGTAAGAGACAGGGCATGTAGTTGGATTTGGTAGGGAGGGTGGTTAGGAGAGGAGCTCACTCTGTAGTCCAGGCTGCCTCCCAAATGCTGGGATTAAAGGTGTGCACCACCACTGCCCTGCAAATTTTGAGAGAACTTTTCCACCCTGTTAGAAGACAATCACCAAATGTGGCCACACCCCAGAGTCAATGACCCTTTTCTTCTGGCTTTGAACTTTTCTAAGGTTTTTCAAGCCTTGGCTGTCCTGGAACTTGCTCTATAGAGCAGGTTGAGCTTGAACTCAAGAGATGTGCCTCCCTGGGATTTAAGGTGTGTACCACCACAGCCCAGCCTAGCTTTGAACTAGGGAAACAGGCCCCCACTGGATAAAGCTCCACTGGATAAAGCTGCTTTCTTACACATGTGTGTTTAAGGGGCACTCACTGGGGGCTGACCCTGGGCCTCACACATGCTAGAGAAGCCCTTAGAGGCAGGACTCTAAGACTGGTGAAAGAGTAACAAATCAGCATAACAAAGTTAAAGGTTTTAGGGGCAGCAGGTGTAGTAGCATAGGCCTGAAACTTTAGCACATAGGATCTGAAGCAGAAGGATGAAGAACCAGTCTGTGCTACAAAGTACCATAGAGACCCGTTTAGGGGAGGGGTAAGCTAAGCTTGACAAAGAACTCTACCTCTGATGGCCTTTCTACACTGTAATTTCATCCTGTTACTTTTTTTTGGGGGGGGGTTCTGAGGCGGGGTTTCTCTGTGGCTTTGAAGGCTGTTCAGGAACTAGTTTTTTTGTGTTTTCGAGACAGAGTTTCTCTGTGTAGCTTTGGAGCCTATCCTGGCACTTGTTCTGGAGCCCGGGCTGGCCTCGAACTCATAGAGATCCTCCTGCCTCTGCCTCCCGAGTGCGGGGGTGAAAGGCATGCCCCACCAACGCCTGGCCAGGAACTAGCTCTTGTAGACCAGGCTGACCTCAAATTCAGAGAAAGGTGGGCTGGGACTAAAGGCATGGGCGTGCCGGGGTGGGTGGTGGCGCACGCCTTTAATCCTAGCATTTGGGAGGCAGAGGCAGGCGGGTCTCTGTGAGTACGAGGCCAGCCTGGTCTACAACAGCTAGCTCCAGGACAGCTTCCAAAAGAAGCCACAGAGAAACCCTGTCTCGAAAAACAAAAGTTACATATCTTGCATTTTCAACTGTTATAAACACAAGCCAGAGGAGATAATTTTATGTGAATTCTAAACAAATCAGCACTTTAAACATTCCTAAAATCTAGTGCCTAAATCCAGGCAGGGCACAGCACTGTCACCAATAACCCAATGCTTGCCTGTGTCTGCCATCCCAACAGCCTTCCCTTTACACATTAATTACCAGGCCACAGCAAATCTGTCAGTGAATGTCCTCCCTGGAACCTAAGAAAATTTCCAATTGCATGCTTTCTCAAAAGCCATTTTACCAAAGCATGGGGCCTAAGCTCAGGCCTAATGGGGATGGCCAAGACAGAGTAAGTGATAAAGTCTCCTAGAACTCCAGGGCCAGTACTTACTTTTCTCCAGCAACTTTGCGCGATAATTTAGCCTCTGTCCCGTTCACTTCCAGCTCCCAATTCCCAGACATCTTGGGAAGGGATTTATGCTTCTGGATTTTCTTCTCTTCCTTAATTTCATCCGTTAAGAATTCAACAAAGGCTTTGTCTCCTAAAAGACAACCCAACATGGTCAAAAAAGAGAAAGCCAACTGCCTTACCCTATAGACCTGGACTGTGCCTAATCTGTTTCTATGGCTGCTCTATGACTCTAGCCCAATTCACTCCGGAAAACGTCCGTTTCCCACTCTGTAAAACCAGGATGTCTCTTCTAGCAGTTATTTCTCCTTAGTGTACTTAGTATTATTGCTCTCCGTATAAAACAAGAATTCCCAACTACCCGCTTTCACTTGCCAAAAGCCATGTCCAGCAACCACATTGTCAAACCAC